AAAGAAGAAGTTATTTAAAACTACTATTTCTGAGTTATCAGGCCCTAATTTTATGTACAGGCTAACGTTACAATCGAGTGCAAGTGACGGCGTAATACTCGACCACGATCCTAAAACGACTATATTTATTAAAGCATCTGCATTTACGAGTGTGTCACGTGCTAATGAGTGGAAAGACATTGCACAAAACGGATATGCCTTCTATATATTAGCAAAAAGTACGACTTGAGATTTCTCTGCAAGCAACCAAACTGGAGAAAAATAGTTATTTGTAGCTCAAGTAAATATTCATGTCTAGAGAATGCCGAATAATTTGTATATAGTAGGGAATGAAGAATATACATGCATGCATGATTTTTGCTGATAAAAATATATTATTGTCATAAATATCTTTATATTCTATAAATATTAAATAATATATAATAATATTAATAAAATATAACATATAATTAAAAAAAAATTTAAAAGATGCTCAAATTTAAAAAGGACCTAGATAGCTTTTGAATCATTAGTAAAGATTATATCAAATATAATTAAAGGGAATTGGCAAACTTGCTTACCCACGAATATTAGCAATGCGTTCAAATTTAAGCCAGTGAATTGGCTACTGAGAGGAAATGTTATTTCCTGGAAATGCGCTGAGCCATAATAAGCAGCTCTTCGTACACAACAGGAGCAACGGCAAATAGGAATCTCAGCTGATGTTGTGCAAATGTGTGTGTGTGTTTGTGTGAATCACAGGAAACAGTTCCGAATGAGCACATGTGGATGTGAAAAACTTGGGAAATTCGTTTACTGTTGTGAGAACGAAAGCGAAACAAGCGTAGCGAACGAAACGATGGCAAATACTCGCCGCATAGGGAGACAGAAAGATAGATCTCTTCAGTTGCCCCAACAGCCCTCAGCTAATTAGGCAGCTCGCATGGGCTGTGCGGGCGAAAGAATAGTGGGACGCTAGCAACAACAGCAACAATGAAAAATCGCTCGCTTCCTGGCCAAAGCAATAAAAGAGCAAAAGAAAGAGATGAAACGAAAAAAAATAAAATAAAATAAAAAACACAAACTTGTTCATCTTCAGCTAACGAGCCGCAAGGTGGGCGCGATGGGCGACGACGACTGCGGCGGGTGGACAGGTAAGAAGTAGATAAGTAGCTAGGTAAAAAGCGTTCGCAAGTGCAAGTGTAACAACGGCTGCTGGGGTGGGTGTAGGCCGGCAAGACAATAAACAAATAAATTACATGAAAGCGGCTGCCACAGTTTTTCTCTTGTTGCAAGACGAATGTGCAACGCCAAGCGAGCGAGAGCAAGATAATCAAGCGGCACGAACTGTGCAGCAATGTGGCATCCTCATTAACCCAGACTGTGGATATGTGTGTGTGTGTGTGTGTAGCTCCTGTCTGCCACGCTGTGCGAAGCTGTGCTGTGCTGAAAGTGAAAGTCATGGCGCAAATGTGCAACAGAAACCCCTGCAACATGCCTGCAATCCGACAAAGTCAAAAGCAATTGCCCAGTTGAGCTCATGGGTTAATTAAAACGCCAGCCACGCACTTTTTCCCCATTTTGCCTCCACATCTTTAATGTCTCTATAAATCTATCGCGTATAACTCAATATTGAACGCATGTAAATATTTGTGCAACCGCAAAAGCCGCAACGCGTCGCATCCGTGAGATGCCTTTGAAATGTTCGAGCAGACCATAGTAGAGCGTAGAGCAGAGTGGAGCTCGATAGATTTGCATTGGTTTTTGATTTGCTTGGCGCACTTTTCACTTCCATCTTCCGCATCGGCTCGAGAGCACTGAGAAAGTATAGAAAGCTGCTCCCAATGAGATTCAATAAATTTGCCAGGCGCTGGCAGCCACTTAAAGCTGATAGCTATATTTAAGTCTGAGGAGTGGGCAGGCGGCTGAGGGGAGGGCGGTGTCCAGTAGCCAGTAGCCAGTAGCCACTAGCCAGTGGCAAGGCTTTTTGTGGGTCAATCGGGTGGCTCGCGTATGTATGTGTACGTATGTGGATGTGCAAGCGAGTGTTTCGAGAGGTGGGCTGCCAATTGGGTCAAATCAGTTGCCCAGCTCATTAACACGCATTGATATACAACAGCCGCTTCCGCTTCACGGCTGCCACTCGAAGCAGCAGCACAAATTGAAATTTAATCAGCGACAGAGACAATGCAAAAATAAAACACAGAATAGTGGTTATAAAAATGTGAATTGCCACTTGGCCACTTGGACACTTGGCCACTTGGACACTGCTTGGCCTCGTCACGTGGGCATGACAGTTAACAAACCTTCCTAGACGACTCAATAAACGAGGTGCTGGCCTATTGACAGAGCACACATACACACACACACACACAGATAGAGATTGAGATTGTGCAATGGGTGGGCAAGAATCTAAGCCGGAGACCCAGCTGGTCTGGCTCGACAGACCTTGCCAAACGGTAAATGCTGTGTCTGTGTCTCTGTGTGTGTGTGTGTGAGGGGGAGAGGGGAAGGCGCGCTGGCTAACATTACCATAGCCCACATAAGTGCACATGTATGTAAGTAGTTTGAGATAGCTGCATTGACATGCTCTGAATACGGGACGCTTATTGTAAATGCTGTTGAAATACCCTGTAAAAGCATTAACATAAAAGGGAGCATGTGCTTGGTAATAGGAATGACAAACAAGCGATGCACTTTTGCTTTTACCGTGCAGAACAGCTCTTGGCACGTTATAGGGTATTCTCCAGTTGCGTTGGTTGTGTTGCACTTGCAGCAGCCGTTGTTGCCGCAAGCCTGAGAATGGCAATTTGATTTATTAGCTTGTTTTTGCGCTCAGTTTCGGCTGCGACTTTGTTGAATTATGCAACCGGCTATAAAATGCAGTCAACCAGCCAGCCAGGCGCTATAAATTCTCGAAATGCGTTTTTTTCTTTTTGGCTCACTGATTTTTCCCACAATTTGCAAACAATAATGAAAACCGTTGCTGCTGCTGCTGCTGCTGCTGCCGCCTAATTAAATCAAATAAGCGCAACCAATAAAAGTAAAAACGAAAACGTGCAATCGAACAACAAATATAAGCCGCTGCCGTTGCTGCTTGTTTTGCATGCCACAAGTGGCCGGCCGGCAACGACCGATAACAGCGGCAGCAAAAAAATTGGCAGCAAAAAGGCAGCCAATTAAGGCCAATTTAGTTGCAGCAGCGCCGTGTGGCGACACAAAAAATGAAAAATAATCAGTAGAAAAACGACAACAAATATGCACCAACTCTGCATGCAAATGAGAGCAGAGCAACAACCAAAAGTAACTTGATACTGCCAACAACAACAAGAAGAATAGCTACAACAGCAACAACGGCGGCAAAAATTATGTATGTGCAGTTATTTGCAAAAAGTTTTCTCATTTTTTAATATTTAATGCGGCCTGTGAGAAAAATGTAAAACAACGTGGAGATCGCTTGTTGTTGTTGCTGCTGCTGACAACACCATGCATGAGATTTTATGCATATGCAAAAAGAGTGTGACAAGGCAAGAGCAGAGCACAGCTCAGAGCTCAGCTTTGTTATCGATAATGCGAGACAAGCTGCAATCGAATGCAATCGAAGCTCTATTGATTAATGTGACCAGGCGTTGACAACAGCTTCCCTAGCAGCAGCAGCAGCAACAACAATAACAAACACAACAAGTGTGTCAGCATCAAGTGCAGTGAAATCTGGCAGTTGTTGTTGCTCGTTTCAATAACAATTGTTAAATGCGACTGCGCAGCGAAGCCGGCCCAAGGCGCAAGACGGAGCGCGGCTTTGAAGCTGGAAAAACCAACAGCAATAACGGGGCTATAACGAGCTACGGCCTGAGATTTTTTTCTTATTGGGTTGGTTTTTGTATTTTTCCAGTTTTTTTTGCATGTAAAAGGCCTCGCGCTGCGCCCATTAAGCTTTAACTGAGACCTGAGGCCGGCAAGTGCCCGTGATGACCTTTTCGTTTTAATTCCAATTCTGATGGTTGCTGTGGTTTTTTGTGGTGTGTGCGCGCAAAGCCGAATCTAATTGTTGCTGCAATCAGTTTAAAAACTCAAGTGTTCCAAGGCGGCGGGTCATGCACTGTTGGTGTTAACAGGCGGACAGACATAATCTTCATAATAAAGCGAACAATCAATTTGAGCAGGGCTCACACAAACACATACACATACACATACACACACACATATATATATATGGACATACACACTTACGCACACCCACACATTAAGTGAAGTTGCCAGACGCTGTCATTTTCTGCAGGTGGCAAAGCCGCAACTTTAACCCGTTTTGTTGGTCAGGCAGCAGCAGCAGCAGCAGCAGCAGCAGCAGAAGCAGAAGTATTCGCACACACTTGTTCACTTTCTTCTTCAGTGCGTGTGTGTATGTACGCAACAGCATCAATCCCAACAACAAGCTGAAAGTAACTGTAACTCGTTGCAACTTCAGCTTACCTGTCTAGCGAATTAGCGATATGGCCACAAATATATGTCGCTTTCAATTGTAGTTGCAGTCCGAGTCGAACTTTAGCCCTGGCTCACACGCATACGCAAACGCAAACAAGCACACACACAGGAACACTAAGAAGCGCGCGCGCGGCGCGAACGTATAAAAAAAACACTTGCACAAATATTGGTGTACGTAAAAATGTCAAGATAAAGATACCGTACGAAGCGGAGCGCGTTCTATGCAAAATGTATGCGGCGCACGGTTAAATGCAGCGCCAAACGAAAGCAACAACAAAATGCAAAGCGAGCGCTGGTCGTGTTCTCTTTGAAAGACACGGTTACTTTTACACAACTGCAGTTCAGATACATCTGTTAACTCCACTGTTTAACTCAAAATGGCGATGTTAAAGTGCTTTACGTTACGTGGTATTTTTTAGTAATTGAACATGGAGTTGCCAGACTAATTTTATTTGAAAGCTTATTTTGAAAATAATTGAATCAAATCAAAGTAAGCTTATAGGAAACTTAGAATACGATACATTTGCCCCTCTGTCAGTATAAACTTGTGACTTAAATATTTACGCACAGCTTGAATCGCGAATACTATCCCGTCACCTTGTATATATGTTTCAAAGTACTGTGTTAATCCCTGTTATTTATATAGTCTGGCAGCACTAATTTAACTGAATTTTGCGTTTGCGCATTAGGTTCCATTTACTCTGTGCTTTATCTTTTTGTAGCAGAATTTTTTTCAGCTACCAGTAGAATTGAAACGAAAATATGTTAAAGTCGGAAGTACAACACCAATACTGGATAACCAAAAAGGTTGTGCAGCGCAAGCTGGGCAGCAAAGAGGACAAGCACATTATATCCTCTGATGCCGAGTTGGACGCTAAAATCGAGGTCTTTAAATCGATAAGTGACACCAGCTTGGAACTATGCAAAATAATTGACCAATACCAGGAACGCCTATGCATATTGTCGCAGGAGGAGTGTGTGTTTGGGCGCTTTCTTAAGGAGGCTGGCAAGCGAAGCAAAACTACAGGCGGCAGTATCACAAACACGGGCAAGGCCATGTCCTTTGCTGGGCAGCAAAGGATGTGCGTACGTGTTCCTCTGTTGCGATTGCAGCACGAGGTGGATGTGTATCGCTGTCGTGCAGTTAAGGATACTGAAATAACTCTGCAAACAATGGAAAAGGAACGTACCGAATACCGTGCCGCCTTGTCCTGGATGAAGCATACGGCCAGCCAGGACATGGATCCTGATACTGGCAAAGGACTCGACAAGTTTCGAACAGCCCAAGCTCACGTGAGGGCTGCCAAGCATAACTTTGACGGCTACTCCATGGACTCCATACAAAAGGTAGCCCGAATAATTCAGATCTTCATAATAGCTTCTCTATTTAACTTTAAATTAATTTCAGATTGATCTATTGGCCGCTGCCCGGTGTAATATGTATTCCCATGCTTTGGTTGCTTATTTGGCGGAGCTAAAGAACTTTGCCCAAAAAGCAGGCTCCACCTTTCAGACCATCTCGAATGCGCTGGTAGTTAAGCCAAAATACGACTTTTGTGTGCTCAAGGAATTGTCCCAAAATGAGGGTGCCGATGCTCCGGAAGTAACGCCGATCGAGACGGTCGACAAAGACCAATCGTTGTTCTTTGCGGTATATTGTTAATATAATTAGATATAATATTTGGCAAACTAAATTGTATTTTTTTTGTTTGCAGGACGAATACCAGGACAAGCCAAAGTCTGAATCACAGCCACCCACAGAAGAAACGCCCACGCCCACGCCAACGTCTACGTCTACGCCTATGTCTTCGACTGTGGCTGGCAATTTGTGTGGTGACAACGAATCGTTGCTCATTGAACTGTCAAAGCAGCTGGAAGATAGTCCGCTTATAGAGGCGCCTCTATTGTTGGATCCCCCATTGTTAGACACCAGCAACAATAACAAATTCTGGGCGCGCATGTTTAGTCAACAACAGCCACCCACGCCGAGCAACGCCCCGCCCGCCGCTGCAGCCGCTGCTCCCAAAACGAACGCCAAGCAAAGCAACAATAGCTCCAATCCCTGGCTAGATCTTTTTGCTGACTTGGACCCGCTAGCTAATCCGCAGGCATTTGACCTAAAACTAAGTGGCGGAAGGCGCGTGGCAGAGCAGACATAAGACAGAAAATTGGTCACGGACGCGGACCAGAGGTTTCCTGGATGCAGCAACTACAGCAGAAAACATACACAACGGCCAACTTCAAGCTGAGTCGGTCGCTCTACTGTTAGTATTAATAGTTTAATTTCCCTGTCCCTATCGATAGTTTTGGCTTTCTTCACTGTCGACATTAGCTTTTTCACACGACACATGCCTTTTGTCAATAAAAATGGATTATTCTTTGTTAAAAAACATTTCCGTTGCGATATATAGTTTGAGTAGGAGCAAATTATCGGGAAAAATCTCGCTTGAAAATTTTCTGTAAACGTTTGAAATGCAAGCAACGTCCACGAGTAGAATTAGAATAAAGATGAATTCCGTCTATATATCAACTATTTTGATGATATCGCCGTTTTGTATTTTTCGGTAAACACAATCAAGAAAAAATCATTGAATTGGAAAATTGAAAAAGTTCGATAGTTTTGAAATGCATAAAATCATTTGAATGTAACTTTTGCTAAACGTTCAAAACTTTTTTAGGTTTATTTATTTAAATATGTATATTGGACACAGCAGCTAGGGCAGAGGAGAACGAGTAAGGCAACACATGTGGCACAACTCATTTGACAGCTGCCTGTGCCTCCTTCTTCGAGTTGACCAGTTCGACGAGCTCCTTGACACGCCGCAAGCAATCCTTTTTACTGCGATTCGGTATGCAGGCTGCAATGCAATCCCATCGATCGGGTGTTGTTGTCGGATACGTTTTGATGGCCTGCTCCAACAAAGCCTGTTCCTCCTTAGTCCAAGTTTTCGATGCGATACCATTCGTACTCGGTGTGGGTGTAGGCGCGCAAGCTGGACCCGACCCAGCATTACCATTTAGCTTTGGCTCCAGCTGTTGCTGCTGGGGTGGTTGCTGCTGCTGCGGCTGCTGATTGTTCACATTGTCGCCCCCATTTTGTTTGTGGTTCTCTTTACTCTCAGCCGGCGACTCACCCAGCGTAATATCGTTCGTTGTCTGGACTTCCTTTTTGGATTTCTCAAAACTTTGGAAAGCCCCTTCGTTAGCTTGTGTCTTGAGAGTGCTTTTGGAGTGATCACTGTTCTGTAGTGCCTTTGCCTTGTTGAGTACGTCGCGTGCAGTCACTGGACCAGACCCTCCACTGCAATGCTGATTGATGAAAGTGGCAATCACATCCCAGCGCTGGGCAGTGCCAGCGGGAAATAGATTGACCGCTTTGATCAGCATCTGTACATTTTCATTGCTCCAGAGTTCACTTTTCTTCACTTCCTTGACGCCCGGTTTAGGCATATTGTTAGCTTGTTTCTTTTGCTGCGCCATGTTGAGCTCCTCCAGCTCGGCAGCGATCTTTTTCTCAGCGACATGCAGCGCTGCGACGAAAGACTCTCGGCCCTTCGTCTCCATGGCCTTGTTTAGCGCCTGCAGCTCGGATAAGCTGAATGTTTCGCATATCTTTTCAGTGCCCTCCATGTGCTTCAGCTGGTCCTTGTCGTTTTTGGCATAGTACTTACAATCCTTAACCTTGTCGCGCAACGTCTTGCGTTCCTTTTTCAGCACCTTCTTCTGCTGTTCGCGCTCAATGCGTATCTGTTCGATGCGCTTCTGCTCGGCCTTTTCAGCCTTCTCCTTAGCCAACGCCGCTTCGCGCACTGCCCGATCCTGCTCGGCCTTTTGGGCCTGAGCAGCATCCATTTTGGCCCGCTTGGCTGCCGCTTTACGATCCTTTTCCTCTTGCTTCAATCTTTGAATCCGCTTATCGTTATTATAAGCCAAGTCGACCAAGGCGCGAATGCGAGTCATCTCTTCTTTTTTACGCTTGATGCGCGCCGTCTTGTTCTCCTTTTCGATCCAACGGCGCTCGTCCCGATCTTGGCCCTTCTCCTTGTCTTCCTCATCCAAATAGCTGAATTCGCGCCATGACTTGAAATCGTACCAGAAATTGTAAAACCGCTCGACATCCTCACGCTTGGCATCCACCTGGCCAAATGGCGGTACATTCGACTTTTCGCTCCAACGAGCGTTCAAATTGAAATACTTATTAAACGAGTCAAAATAGTTGCTATCAATATCTGTTTGTGTGGGAAAAGCGTCGTCAAATTCAGGATCCACTGAGTCATAGCTACGGCGTGTTTTTGAAGTGCCTGTAATAGAAAAATTAAGATGTATTTATTAAATATATGTATATATTGCCAGAAGAAGGCACGTGACAATTATACGTCTCTCTAAAATGAGTATTGTTATAAGACATTAGCAAGCACATATAAATATGTGACGTAACATCAAATTTCACTTAGCACAATGAAATACCCTGAGAAATAAAAAAAAGAATACCCTGAGTATTCTGTGGGAAATACGCGAATAGCAACTAAACTTGATAAACTTTAAATAATTGCAGAAACAAATAAAATGGTCCTCTATACCTTCTATACTCAAAGCTGAACCATGTCTCAGATACTTTAACCTTTTCACGTGCATAACGAATAGCATTTACAATTACTTATTTAGACATATCGACTAGGCACTAAGCGTATATGCATATCTTAGATATTTTCATTTTACCAGCTGCATAAAAATATAATCTACAATTATTTATTTAGATATGCGGACTACTAACCAAGTATTTCGTAGGCCTTTGTTATGCATGTAAAGTAGTCGTCATCGGTAATCACCTCTTCGCCTTTGGCTTTCCGTTTGTCTGGATGATGCAGCAGCACCATTCGTCTGTAGGCCCTCCGAATGTCATCATCGCTCGCTTCGTATCTGTGTGCAAAAAAAAAGTTAATATAGTTAATACACGTGCATTCGCACACACACAGATAAACTCTCCGCCTCTCTCTCTCGCACACACGTATACACTTACACGTGTGCACACATTAAAATATAAACGCACCTCAATTTACCAAGGCCAAGAACACTGTAATGATCCTGATCCTTCCATTCTTTGGGATCGAGTGACTTGAGGTAGCTTATGTCGACATCCTCGCCAGCGCCCGCCAATTTCTCATCAGAGTCACTGCGCTCGACGCCGTTCGCATCGCCAATTTGGCGGCGTGCGTTAAAATATGCGCAACCAACGCGTTCGATTTTATGACGCGCTACTTTCAGCGCGGTACACTCTATTTCTAGGCTGTTAGTCATTATGAGTGTGTGGAAGTGTGTGGTGTAGCAAAAACCAATTGCATCAAATTACATAAAGCACACTGCACTACCTCGAATTTTGTTTGGAAAACCCGAAAAGTGTGTAATTAATTCACTTCACTACCGCATGCTTGAGCTCAGTGTAGGCAAGCGACAAAAAAGGCATAGTTAAGTGCGATTGCGATTCGATAAGCATAATGCTGGTAATCTTTACCAACACCAATTTGCATTCCTGTCGATTACGATAGCCTCAAGTCCTACGTGGCGGCAGGCCGATTATCCACACCGCTTTTTAAAGGAGCTATGTCGGCAAAAATCAAGCTAAGAAGAATTAATATGTTTGTAATCCACTTATCATTATCAGGTAAATAACTATTTTACCATATATCAGATAGGTAAACACTTATATCTGAATTGTTCACTTAAAAGGTTATATAGATGCACATATATGTCTTCTTTCAAAGAAAATGAATAATTCGATAATGTTAATTAGTGGTGACACTATTAAAAAACAAAAAATTATTAAATTTATTATAGTATGCCGATACTTATCGATAGCAATAAAAGTTTCTTACCAATTGGGGAGTACCCCAGTGTTATATAGTCTAAGTAAATAAAAAATGCTGCGGCAAGAGAATCTCTGTCAAACATGAATAAATCTCAGGAGAGAAGTACTGACTCCGCTATCTCAACACCGAACAAAGCAGACGATGACCTTCACAATGTTTCTGACACCTTCTATACCAGCCAGCGCAAAGGCAGCCACGTATTTCGTGTGCGTCTTGATGCCACAGGATTTACACTGCAACGCGAATCTCCAAGTGGTGTGACGATCAAAGAGCAAAAGGTTAAAATATGTGATATTATTGGGGCACGCTGCATGCGCATGAAAAAGTCGCCACGCAACCTGACAGGCTGTGCCTGTGTCAATCCAGGCACCCCAGCTGCGGGTTCCAGTCGCAAAAGCGGCACACCCAGCAAGTGCAGCATGGCCAGCAAGGAAGAACATATGACCGATATGGGCGATGGCAGCGCCTATTTGTACTTGTTTGCCTACGTGTTAAAAAAGAAAAGTCTCCGTAGCAGCCTGCACAGGGAGCGGACTGTGCTGACGCTTCGCTTTCGATCCTTTGATACATTCGAGGACAACATGCGGGAGGCTGATCGTTGGTATCGCGCTTTGCGCTGGCAGTTGCATCAAACGCTGGAGCCCCTATTTGCTGAGAGCGTGGGTGAACCGCGTCGTCGCCGACTTCTGGTACTACTCAATCCAAAGTCTGGCTCTGGGAATGCACGCGAAGTGTTCAACACGAATGTTGCACCTGTGCTTAACGAAGCTGAAGTACCTTATGATTTGTTTGTAACGAAGCATTCCAACTATGCAATCGAATTTATGAGCACACGCCGTCTAGACGACTGGTGCACCATATTAGCCGTTGGCGGCGACGGGCTGTTCCACGAGATAATAAACGGATTGCTCTGCCGTGCTGATTGGGCTCAAGTTATGGACAACATTGCCTTGGCTATTGTTCCTTGCGGCTCTGGCAATGGTCTGGCCCGCTCCATTGCGCATGGCTACAAGTGAGTGGGTGATTCTTGCAGGTGTTGACTTTTGGTACAAATACTAATTTCTATTTATGCTTGTAGTGAACCATACTTCAGTAATCCTGTACTAGGTGCCTCTCTAACAGCTATTAGTGGTCGCAGCTCACCCATGGATGTTGTGCGTGTGGAGACAGAAAACCGCGTCATGTTCTCATTCCTTTCCATTGGCTGGGGCCTTATCTCGGACGTGGATATTGAAAGTGAATGCATAAGGATGTTCGGCTACCAACGTTTCACCATCTGGACACTTTATCGATTGGCCAATTTGCGAACTTATAGTGGTAAGATCAGTTATCTTCTGGCTGAGGAGGCTCAGGAGCCACTGGCAACGCCGTTGCTGCAGTCGGAACAGTTGCGAAGGATGCAATCAAGTCGCAGCTGCACTATGCATATCGATAAGCTGTCCAATTCCAGCTATCATCGCTCCACTGAGTTTCTGCCACAAGAGTTCGAGGATGTCATTTCACTGGAAACATCCATCAATCAATCATTCCGTTCGCGCTGTGACAGTTGGCTATCGGGTGGCTCACGTCGCAGTTGCTATTATTCCATATCAGAGAGTGTCTATCACAGTGTGGCAGATGACAGTGAATTTACGGAACAGTCTTCTACAGCAGGTATTAAATCTGAACAAAACCCCCATAACTTCGGCCCAAGTAGCAGTCTACCAGGACTTGACAAACCATTATCCGAAGATGCGGGCTGGCTGGTCGAAGAGGGCAAATTTATTATGATGCATGCCATCTATCAATCTCATCTCGGCGTCGATTGTCACTTCGCGCCCAAAGCCCAATTGAATGATGGCAAAATATTTTTAGTTTTGATACGCGGCGGCATCAGCCGTCCGCACTTGCTTAGCTTTCTATACAACATGAGCACCGGCAGTCACCTGCCCGAGAAAAACAACGAGTATATAAAGGTGCTACAAGTGCGCGCATTCCGCTTGGAGCCACACGACGATCACGGCATCATCACCGTGGATGGCGAACAAATAGAATTTGGTCCACTTCAGGCAGAAATACTGCCAGGTATTTCGCGTGTCATGATACCAAAATAAGGATTAGCGAATATATATATCTAAAGCAACGATCGTACATTCAAGCAATAACTAATCAGTAATGGGAATCTCTGCATTTGAATAGGTAGGTGTAGGTAAATTTGTTATTAGTTTTGGCTCTGCGTGCCTCGGTGGAAGCATGCAAAAGTGTATAATTTTTATATTATTGCTGGTAAACATTTTTGTAACTCTTGTTAATATTTATTAAAATGATTACAGTTAAAAACCAATAAAATACATATATCTATGAAAATCAGTTTTAATCTGCGAGGCAACAGAAAAATCTAAGCAAAGGTAAGCTCGATATTATCATTTCAAACGTAACAGCTGTTTTTCTAAAGCTAAAGCAACCCTGTGAAATTAAAACTTATCGATAGCTTAATTGAAACGCAATAGGAAAAAGTGAAAAAATAATTTCTGGAGAACAATTTTGTTGGTACGGCTGATAAAACGTTAAATACTTGAGCAAAAGCAAACAAACGTGCTCAATAGACGCTGAAATAGCCCAGGAGGAAGAATTTATTTGTGGCCAAAGCTATCGTTAATATAATAATTGTCACAATATGTCAGCGGAGGAGCTGGCGCCAATTAACGAGCAGGATCTGAAGGACCTGAAAGAGCGCATGAAACTTATAGCCGACGCAGACCCAAATCAATATCAAAACGAGTTCTCGCTGCGGCGTTACCTACGCGCCTTCAAGACTACAGATGACGCATTCCAAGTGAGTTATTATCATTATTACGGCCACATCTTGACATTGACTTTTCTACACATTATCTACTTATGGCTGCCACCCACCCTTCTAGGCCATATTAAAGACGAATAAGTGGCGTGATTCATATGGCGTGGCTAAGCTTAACGAAATGGACCGCAGCCACTTGGAGAACAAGGCGCGTGTTTTGCGACACCGCGATTGTGTTGGCCGACCAGTCATCTATATTCCAGCCAAAAATCATAGCTCTTCGGCACGCGATATTGACGAACTAACGCGGTTCATTGTGTACAATCTAGAGGAGGCATGCAAAAAGTGCTTTGAGGAGGTCACAGATCGTCTGTGCATTGTCTTCGATCTAGCTGAATTCAGCACAACCTGCATGGATTATCAATTAGTGCAGAATCTTATCTGGTTGCTCGGCAAACACTATCCCGAGCGATTAGGCGTTTGCCTAATTACAAATGCGCCTGGTATCTTCTCTACCGTTTGGCCAGCCATTCGCATACTGCTCGATGATAACACCGCCAAAAAGGTGAAGTTTGTCAACAATGAGGTGGATCTATGTCAATATCTTATACCGGATATACTACCGACAGACATGTAAAGAAATTTACAGCTTTGTTACAATTAGTTGTAGGCATACATATCTCTATATGAGGCACTTTTGACATTATACTGCAACTCGAGACAACGTGTACCTATTAGAAACCAGTACCTATTCGACTGTATTTAATATCTATGCAGCTTGAGGCTTCTGAAAGCTTTTACATAGTTCGTACTCTACAAATGCATATATTGTTTATAACTGAATGTCCTTATCGTGTAGTTTGGTTTAATTTTAATTGATTATGCATTGTGCATATTATAAAATATTTTAGATAAATATTTATCTATGTGTATTGTCTACATTTAATGTGTATGTTATAAATGAGTAATATTGATATATGTCTATATATATGTATAATAAAGTTGTAAAACAAAAATCGAATACAATTATTGACTGACAAACAAGTGGGTCACAAGTTGATAGAGTGTTCTATATTTACCACTCGTTATCTCATCAAATAATAACGTATTATAGCTTGTCGCAATTCAAAGTTATAGATAACCATTTTGAATTTTTATGAGTTGTGTGCACAAGACTGGGCTGCCAATGTGCATTAAAAAGGTGTTGCTAAAGATGTGGCAACTCTCTTTTGAACGAAGAGCTCCTGCGTGAAGTAGGGTAGCGGACAGACATGTTTAACTTTAAGTAGGCAAAAGTAGGTATTTAGATTGGAATTAGATTTGAAAATTTATGGGTAAAGCTTATACTTATGAAATAAAAATAATACTCAAGCTCAGATTGTGATTATTAGTAAATGAAATCACTGTATAAAAGATTTAATTTGTGACGTCACATTCCCTTATGATAAGATCGCCAGTTGTAAGTGAATTGAAATACCTTCACATTTGTATCCATGATTGACGCCAACTGGTTAAGTTTATTATCGAAAACTCGAGCAGTTGATTACGGATTGGCAGCAATATGAAACGACTAAACACAAACGGCAACGCAAACTCAGTTTGCCAGCAATCGGGTTTTAAGTATCAGTAAATAACGAAGCGTGCACCGAGCAGCAGCAGCGGCAGCAGCAACGGCGGCAACAAAATGACAGAAGCAACGGTTTGTCATATCGCGGCATTGGACGTTGGGACTACGTATTTGCGGTGCTTTGTGCTTGATGAGAACTGCACGGTCAAGGGGTCGGCAGCGGATGCTGTAAGTTAATTGAGTGGTGACGGGCAAAGTTGAATGCCGCTGAAATGTGTGATATTTTCAGGTTGAGCTATTAAATCCGCAGCCCGGCTACTTTGAGATCGAGCCCGAGAACTTGTGGCGGAAGATAGTCAAGGTGATAACAGAATCGATACGCAGTGAGTACTTGAGATTGATAGTGTCCCTCATGTACAATGGCTAATCTTCAATTATCTGCAGACGCAAAACTGACACCAGCGGATATTACTTGCCTTACCATTTCGACACAACGGTGTACGTTCTTAACGTGGAACCACAGAACCAACGAATACTATCACAATTTTATCACGTGGAAGGACTTGCGAGCCGACGAACTTGTCCAGCAATGGAATTCCAGTTGTTCATTGCGTTTAATGAATGGATTTTCGTACTCCCTGTACCTACTGACCAGAAATGCGCGTTTCTTGGCTGGAAGTGTGCTCAAATTGATGAATAGTCAGGTGACGCCGCGTCTGCTTCACGAGATTCGTCACAATAAGAGACTGCAGCAGGCATTGCGTGAGAAGACGGCGCGCCTGGAGCTACTTGATTCATGGATATTGTACAAGCTGCGGTCCGGGAACGGCATTGATCCAGATGTAGAACATATAACCGATATTACCTCAAGCACTGCCACCGGTCTGTTCGATCCTTTTACACTAAGCTGGTCACCACTTATGCGCTGGATGTTTGGCATTGATGTAGGTGAAGAACATTCATTTTCTCATTCATATTTGCATTCAACACTTGATATTCTTACAGTCTAGAATTTTGCCGCGCGTGGTTGAGAATAGCTATAAAAATTTTGGACACGTGCATCCTTCAGCATTTGGCCTGGAATGGAACAATACTAAAATCCCAATTGCAGCCTCCCTTAGTGACCAGACAGCGGCCATGTGGGGCTCGCAGTGTTTCGCAACAGGCAATGTTAAGGTCACCATGGGCACAGGAGCGTTCTTAAACCTTGTGACAGGGTCGGACTGCAAGGCAGTGATTAGCGGCATGTATCCATTGGTCGCTTGGCAGCTCAATCATAAAAGCAAGCATCCTGATACGATCTACTGCATCGAAGGGGCTGCCCATGACTTTGGCACTGTGGTGACGTGGGCACAATCTTGTGGACTGTTCGAATCACCCGCGGATACCGCCGATATAGCTGAATCAGTACCGGACACTAACGACGTTTACTTTATGCCCGCATTTAGCGGATTGGGTGTAAGTCCAAATAGCTGAATAGTCTACTGAACTATATTGACCCAATCCGTTTCTAGCCGCCTGTGAATGACTATCGCGCTGCCAGTGGCTTCATTGGCATGACACCGTCCACAACCAAAGCACATCTGGTTCGGGCGCTTCTGGAGAGCATAGTGTTTCGTGTGGTGCAACTTATTGAGAGTGCTGAACAGGAAACGGGACAGAAGCTAAAAGTCATCAAGTAAGCCACAAACTTCAGCATTCACAACTTTGGCTGACAAGGAAGTCCCTTAAATATTTGTTTTTCTCAGAGTGGACGGCGGTGTCTCGCGCAATGATTTTGTTTGCCAGTTTTTGGCAGATGCCAGTGGTCTGTGTGTGGAGCGCGCCGAGTGCTCCGAGTCTAGCATAATGGGTGCTACATTTCTAGCCGGCATTAATCATGGCATTTGGCACACGCTCGATGATCTCAGACGCTTTCGCAATGTGGAACGGGTTTTCGAGCCCCAACCAAAGCATATCAATTTGATCGCCAGTCGCATGGAAAAATGGAGTCGAGCCATTGAACGCTTTAGTAGCTGGTACTAGGAAACATAACAAGACTATTAAAATAGTTTTAAAGCTTAGAGTAGAGCATTTAATTTGTTTGTGTGAATTGTTTTCTTAGATTAAAACTTGTTATCAAAACGTTAAATTATTGTAAATGTAAAAGGGCTAAATGAAAAAGTTTCCAGTTCCACTTAACTCTATTGATATCTGGAATAACTCCCAAAATGTTCAGTTCATTTCAGAAAGAGCTTAAATTCAGTTGAATCGTTGCTGGAAACTTTGCTGTTGATTGAAGATCATTTGTTGCTGTTGTTGTTGTTGCTGCTGTTGCTGATGATGGAAATCCTGTTGGTTGCCAGTTCCTGATAATCGAACACGTTTGGCGTTCGGCTCGTTGGGATTCATTTGTTGTTGTTGTTGTTGTTGTTGTTGCTGCTGCTGTTGTTGCTGTTGCTGCTGCTGTTGTTGTTGCTGTTGCTGTTGCTGTTGCTGCTGTTGGCGCTTGTTGTCTGACTTGTCCTCTTGGTCGTCATCAGTGAGGAATTCACGCTTGGGGTATGGTATGGGACAACCGGCAAAGACGTCCTGTGTCGGCAATGGCTCCTCCTGGAAATATTGATCTTGCATTGCTTGCTCCGATGTTATACGCTTGTTGGGATCCATCAACAGCAACTTCTGGAGTAGATGAAACGCTTTGCTATCGGGTTTAATCTTATGGCGTTCCATGTACTTGGCTAGCGAGCAGGCAGAATAGGTGGAACGCTTGAAATCTTTCGTAAGTGTATGATGCTCTGGCATTTTTTTGATGTCTTCCCAGTCCTTGTCCTGCGGAAAGCCCATTACATTGAATATACGATCCAGCTGATCGTGATGATACGGATTGCTAGTCTTAATATCTTCCTGACGACAGTGAAAGATAGGTTCGGATGTCAGCAGCTCTGCGAAAATGCATCCAATAGCCCATATATCGATGGCTTTGGTATAATGGCGCGCGCCCAGCAGCAGCTCTGGTGCTCGGTACCAAAAGGTAACCACCACAGGATCTAGGTCAGCCAGCGGTTTTAAAGGAGCATTGAAGAGGCGTGCAAAGCCCATGTCGGCAATTTTTACACGCCCTCGCTCGTTGCCATCGCCCATTACGAGAATGTTGGCTGGTTTCAGATCACGGTGCAAAACCCAATTGCTGTGCAGGTAATGAATGCCATCCAGAATCTGATACAAAAGACTCTTGACCATGCCCCGTGGAACAACCACATGTTTTTTCGTCGCCTTGGCAGCACGGTGGAACTTAATGATGTGCCATAGATCATGTTCTGCGTAGTCAATCAGCAAAAACACCTTTCGGTCATTGTGCGACAAAAAGACTCGAATGAGCGTTATCACATTCTGATGTTTCAGCTCGCGTAGCAGAGCAATCTCACGGCAAGCGGACATAGAGAGGCCCGTGCCATCGATCTGTTTAAGTGCGTATTCCTTACCATCGCTGCAGGAGTCAGAAAACGGAATGTATATTTGGGTTTGGGTAATTTTTTTCTATTTACCTGGTCTCCTTCCACTTAGCCTTGTATACGTGACCGTAAGTACCACGGCCCACCTTACATCCCTCATAATTAAATAGATCTTCTACTTTTGTTCGCTCCGTTTGTGTTTTTATCTTAAAATCATAATCCATTTTCGGCAAAACTTCTCATTTACCTTAACCGCAAGCACAGCTGTTTACAAGCAATCTATATTGTATTTCTATTAGAGATGGACAAGGCTTATTTTGTTTCAGTACCCAAAGTAACTGTGAACCGTTCACTGTATATGTGTACAAAATATAAATGCCATTAAAATGATTTATCCTGTTAAAATTACATTCTTCTTACAACTTGCCATACATATTTGTAATTAATATACGTAAGTTAAAGAAAAAATACCCACTTCAACGGTGGTGTATCGGCCGGTGTATCCGGCAATCGTGATCCCAACAATCGTGTTTCCTTTCGATAGCAATTAAGTATCGATATATCAGCTGTTGAGCAAAACAAATCTCGATTTCCTAAACCATAATAAAACGTGAGCCCAAAAAAATTTCAAAGCGCAGCGTTTAACACTAATTAAAGTGGAAGCGAAATGGCGAAAACTAAACGAAATATACGAGTAAAGGCCAAGGCTGCTGCAGGAGTGGCCAAGCAAAAGGTTCAGCAAGTGCAGGCGAAACTCAATAAAGCAATGCGCCAGGATACATTGCTGCACAAGACGCTATCTCCGAAAAAGACAATAACAAAAAAAGAAAAATCTGCAGAAAAACATACGAAGTTATTAAAACGCTTCGTGGAAATAAAGAAGGAGCTGAAAGAAGAGCAGGCACGTAAAAATCGACAGAAAACTAAGGTCATAGGTGATTTAAAACCTCTTCGAGATGCGTTGCCATCCCTAGGCGAAATTTATAAGTTGGTAAAGACCCAAAGGAACGTAAAGAAAGATGAGAGCGCACTGGAGGAGGTAGAATCATTAAGTGCAAAGAAAAAGATAAAAAAGAAACGCAATGAATATGTAAGCAAAGTGCAATCCTTTGAGAAACTAATAAAGGACAAAAATTTCAAAAAGAATCCCCGTGAGATAATTGCAAACCACGTGCGCAACAGGTATCAGACGATGGAAGAGGAAGAGTCCATGGAGTAGACAAACAAATTTTACACAGAATAATATTGCATTTGCACTTTTATTTTATTTATTAAGAAATATCATTATATATATATATATATATATATATATATATATATATATATATATATATATATACATATACATATGTGTAGTTTTATCATTTAACGATGCATATAAATATTACACACATGAATGTAAATTGTAAGCGTTGTAAAATAAGTGTGGGAGACAACAGAATGTAATTAAAGAGAGTTTTCAATATAAACTTGTTTTAGGGGTTTTCTATTAATAAAGCAAATGGAGAACTGTAATTAGTTTTCTTTTTATTTTTAACTTTAGTTTTTACAGTACAGATTCTATATCATAGCCATAAAGCATAATAAACTCTGTTTCAGATAAGCTTGGTGTTGTTTTTCTTACAGTGTATTTTGCACAGAAATTGCAATCTGTTTCGATCAGTTTCCTATAGATATATATATTTATGTTTATGATATATGTTAGCTTTATTTTTACGGCTTGAGCTCCAACTGTCCGGTCAAAATATATACTTTAACCGTACGGTAAGAAAACAAGATTTTGCATTTGTTTATTCGAGTGAGATCAATTAAATATTTTATCATTTTTTAAAGTCACACTACACACAAATTCTCCACTTGCACTAACATCAAAGTTTAACGTAGTTATATCTTTTATTGAAATTATTATTGAATTAGTGTTCTCAAATGGCATTTCTGATGTACACGATACATATAAATCACGTATGTAATATATAACTGTATATATTTAGATTTATGCATATGGCTCTGTGTTTACGGCGTTGAATGGGGTTTAATCATAATCAGGAAAAGTCTCATATACATTAATTTATATACGTCTTATAACTAAATATATCGCATCAGTGTGGGACATTATTTTCGTTTTGCCAGCAATAAAAAGCTTAAAACTCATCTAAATTTAGGTTACAATTACAACCTACCGCATTATAGTGCTATCGTGATTATTAGTATTGAGGGATAGTTACTTCTTTTTTTTTTTTTTTGCTTTTTTGAAAGTACATGTACATTTAGAGATAGAAAATATATATGTATATATTTAGGCTACATCTATTTTTTGCACATTTATGAGTCAGAAACAACAAACTTAAACTAGGTTGCAAAATCTGTACTACTAGCATATAACGATCGCTTTACTTGTTCAGCAGAAACATCAGTAAACTGTGAAGAAAAGGCATGAGATATTGCATTGAATTAAGGTCTATAATATATACATATATATGCTTTATGTACTCATATACTTAACGCACCGGAAATTGATCCCTTTATTAGCCAGCATACGATTGCATTCGCTAGAACCAGTGCTGTTGCCATCAGGCAAGGGTAGCACGTAATAATCACTCTCAGTGCTCTGGAATCGACGATAAATTATATAGTTATAATTTGAAATATAATATGGATTACATGGGAATGTAACTATTCATTTACCGTTTCCGTAAACTCGTGCTTGTAGATTTGTGTGGTGACCTTCATGTCTGAAAATGGACCTTTCAGAGCAAAGAAATGTATGCTCATGGGTGTGCTGGTTTTTGTTTTCAGTATTAGCTGATAGGTGATGGTTCGCTCATTCGACTGATGCGGATCTCGTTGGCTGTTATTGATGCGCGCCTTTACCACCCACTGTTGGTTGAATGCTGAGAAACGTGCAGTCTCATAGAACAGTTTGTGCACATATTCATCCGTGCGATAAGGTTTCATCTGTAGATCTGTTACACAATAGTTATTAAAGAGTAGGGCGGAGTTTTAGATGTTTCACTTGCCATTGAATATTATTTTCTCGTAGCTCAACAGATCTATCAATGTACTAAACATTTTCTTTTCCTCTTTGATCTTAACATCGTGCGCCTCTAAGGCAGCCATTACCTCATAGCCAGATTTTTGGGGATGTAAGCAGTTGCGTTCGTGTTCAGTTGCTGTAAAAGTATATGAATAATAATAAATATATTCACATATATATATTGGTATAGGTATAGATACACACTCTCATGATAGGGTCCACGCCACTGGCAGCCGATACGATGATATTTGCATTTTGTGGGTCGCTCCTGGCACTCGTGCTGCTCATGGCGTTCTAGAGATTTGTATGGAAACTCTTTGTTGCAAAACTGGAAATTATAAAAAAGAAAGTTTTAGTTTCTATTGTACCAGGCTATGATGTGACAGTCAGTTTTAATTCACCTGACATTCGCTGGGCAGTTCGGAAGCAGCTTTCTCTACAGCCAGATTACGGGATGCGGTGCTCTTTGATATTTCCACGCGGCAATTCGGGCACGTAGCTATCTGATCCCGTAGGCTGCATGACGATTAACGATCAACAATTAAATATAGAATAAAAAAGAGAAAGATTTGGATTATTAGGCTAATCGGGCAGTACGGAGTTTAAGTGTTTTATCAAATCACAGTAAATAATTTTTCAAGTCGTTTAATTTTCGCTTTTGTGTTTCATACCGTCCGTCCGCCAGGAGGTGGGTGAAGCAGGCGGCGCACATCAGGTGACCCATTTGACACTAAAATAAAGAGAGCAGAGTAAAAACCAGAGAGGTTTTAGTGCGGGCGCATGTCAGGGGTAAATATGTTAAAGATTTATAAGTATATATATTTATACATCTATATATATATATGTATATATATGCATAAATATATATGTATATATATGTGTGGTATGTAGTAGAACTAAATAAAAATGTGGAATACAAATTAACCTGCAATTAAAGAAAAAAGAAGAAAAATTTGCTATTAGTCAAATTCGCTATTTTGCAAAAATTGAAAGTTGTATGATGAGTATGTGAAATGTGGGAGGATATTAAAAATTTTGCGATCGGGGATTCGGATCGGACTAGTTGATTTTAGATTGAGCTAGATATTTTTGAAATGGCTAGTAAAATGGTTGGTCGGATGGAACGATGGATTGATGGATGATTGGATGATTGGATGATTGGATTATTGGTTCGGCTCCTGTGGGTGGTTGCTTAATGTTTTTTTTTTGTTGAAATAAAAACGCTTATTTTGTATTCAGTTTTGAATTTAACAATTTGCATTTACTGCAAAATTTATTGAAACAACTTTTCATTTTTGTTTTGTTTTGTTTTTCATTTCATATTTGTCTATTTGTACATTTCAATTATATATCAACAGTTTACAGTTACTGCCTCTTTGTCTCAAATAGGCTAAAGGTTTTTTAAATACTTAGCAGTAAGAATTAATTACATTACTTGTGGCAAAGTGTGTGTGTGTGTGCTTACAAGAGTTAGCTAAGTTGATAAAAAGTTTCATTGTATGTAAATATTAAATTGACTTAACTAGATTATTCATTAGAGAGATAGAAATAGTTAAGATAGAGGAGAGAGAGAGAGAGAGAGAAAGAGATGTTAATGGTCTACAGTTAAGCATAGGCTGGAGCGTAAAGAAAACTCCATGAGTCCATGACTCCATGATGATGAAAATAAAAGGAAATATATATATTTTTAATTTTTTTCTTCATCTGTTTTGATTCCAGTTCTTGGAAAGAAAACTAAAAAGAAATTTGTGTAAAATGAATGATACGAAATCATTAGATAAAACACTGTAGGAATAGGGGCAGTGTTCCATCTCCATCCGATTGCCAGGGATCAGTCGAAAAGGGAGTCGAGAGAGAGAGCGAGATAATGAAAATATATGAATGAAAAAGGTCAGGTTTGACGGCCCCGATGACTATTTCCATTATACGATTCTTTTTTAATTTGCCAAGAATGCGGGCCATGAGACGCACCACGATGTTCCGTCAATTATCGTTGCCGAAGCGTGATAAAAACGTATTTTTCTGGTTGTTCGATCTGTTGGAAATTCTATTTACGAAGTGACATGTGCGATATACTCAATGCAATGTATATATGTGTATACATACATATGTGTATACTTGCAACTGAATGCATATATCTTGCTATTTGAGAGATAAGAGCACGTCCTTTATTTGTCTTTTATTTTCTTGTCAGGTTACCCTATGTTGACATGTGTGTGAGCAGGACAGCATTTTCGCTGCACCCAAAATCCTATTTCCATTTCCATTTCCATTCGTATTCCCATTCTCTTAGGTTGAATGAACTTCAAAATGTTCAAGCAGAAACCATTAAGACGTCGCAAACGCTATTTATGATAGACAGTATGCGATAGGCAGCTGTGACAATTGTTTAAAACAAACCCCACAAACTGTATAAGTTCTTTTATTAATGACGAATCCGTTTGTTGGTAAACTCTTTCTCTACTATACTCACTTACTCTCTGCTCGCGTGTATGCATTTACTCGCTCAATTTTATAGCTCCCCATTTTAATCGACTCAAGCGGTAGCACAACAAAACCCAGCTGATGATGTTTTGGTAGATACTTCTGTATATATGTATGTATATGTGTGTGCCTATGTATGTAGTCAAGTAGAGAAGATTGTCAACAGCGAAGAAACAGAGAGAGAACAAGAGTGGCTGGTGGAGACGATAACATAAACAACAACGGCGTAGGTAAAAGGAAACGCATACTTATGTTAGAATTTACAGGTTTTAGACATTGGCTCAAAAACTGGTAAAACAAGTTTGTCTTAGATTACAGGTCACAGCAAATAACAACAATAACAAACAAACTGCACGCAACCAACAAATACTTTTCCAAACTCTGCCCTTCCATACCCAGCAGCAGTATTAACACGCACATTCAAAAATCATGCCAATTGGTGTCAAATAAAGACGACGAAAACTTACAAAATGCGACGTAGTTTTTTTTCTCTTAACAACTACCAAATGTTTTTCTTTGGCCACTAACAGCTGACTATGTTACCATACGAGCTGTGTGTGTGAGCAGGACGAGACGAATGTCAATAACAGCACCGAGCGGAGCACCAACTGCCAGCAAAAGCAAAACAATAACAGAGAACGTGAATATGAATAAACGAGAGTGAAAAAGAGTACATTCATGTGTGTGCGTGAATGTGTGTAAAAATATGTGATTTTGACAATATGTAAACGCAAAAACTAGCCATTGGCTTTAAATATTTGATAACTAATTGTTACTATTCATTATACTTTAAAATAATATATTGTAGTTCAAAATAACGTATTAGATATGCATTATGTGTGCTTGTATTAGTTGGTGGGTCAAAGCAATGACGCAGTTATATTTATGACTGCTGTATGTGAATGTGTGTGTTTAAGAGATAGGGGTCCAACAATGAAAGAGAGAGAGAGAGAGAGAAGGAAAATAAACCAAAGAGCCAGCCATAGTCAACGTAGCACTGTTGGAAAGGCGAAAAGGCTTAGAAAAGAAAACGTAGAAAACATCAAGAATTCAGAAATACATATATGTTCATCATATATATATATATATACAGTTGTTGATACATAACGTCAATATATACATACTAGTATGTGTTACGTAAAGCTTTGATTGTTTATAAATTGTCACAACTATTTATTAAATTAACAAATAGTCGCCGAGTTAAGCAACAACAATATCTAATGAACCTGTGCATCAATGAATGATAGATAAAAATTTTATACATACATGCGTATGCGTTTACTCATATATATGAATACATGTATGTAAATAAAAGCAAATTAAGCAAAGAATAGGAAATGGCAAACAGGCAATTAGCTTTTTGAATGACAATGTGTATATGTGTACGTGTAGGCATATATGTATGCTTGTTGACATAGCAAACAAACACTGACGTTTCGCCGTTAGCATTATTTTTTTTTATTGCGGGCGGGGTTTATAGAAACGAAATCGGCAATGGCGCCGCCGCTGCGGGGGTCGCACGGGCTACAAGCTAAAAATAGGCCACGAACACGAATAACACATAATGGCTTCCAATTCACAATATGTAAATAACGCATCCATGAGAAGTATTTGCTATTTTCCTTACATACATAAACATATATATACGCTTGAACATTAGTTTATGCAAATTCATATGCATATATAAATTTGTGCATGTGTATGTACATATGTAAAGAATCTATACATAAAAAATGTATGACGCAACAGCGGAAAACGGCAGCTATGCAGCTGTTAAGAGAGTGTTACAGTTAATGTAACTGCGCAAATAGTTTTAAGGTGGGGGTCAGCGGGGTGAGCATTGAAATTGAGCAGGGTTGCTTTGGTCGTCGCTCGCCTAAAACGCAATAAATGTGCAGCAGCATGGCGAGAACTGCATGCTATGTAACCATAATGCGTGCGAGCGAGTGCGATGTATATACATACTTACAAAAACAATTAATGGGCGAGCAGTACGAAGGTAGGAGGGCAAATGGTACAAGTGCCTGGCATTGTCATTTTCAAGGCGATGGCAATGGGCTTTTGCAAATGTAACCATAGTCTAGCAAATTAAAACAGTTTTTTTTCAAGTTCCTTTTACAGTTTTGCTTTGTGGCGCTCGCTCTCGCGCGCGCTCTCTTATTGGTGAGCCCAGCTGTGTACTGCGATATCGGGTCGGCAGCGGTGCGTGGGGTGGGAGTGGCTACTTACAGCTGAGTTTTCGATTGCTTTTGCTCGATTTGTTTTGTATACAGAGAAATGTCACAAATACACACATATTCATAGAGAGCACTCATGTGTGTTCATATTCACACACACATATGTGAATGCACATACTTATGTCTCATTGTGCACATATTTAACTTTTCCATTTTTTTTTTTGAACTTGCATGCCACAATCAACTCACCTGATACATGGCCGTTTTGGGCAAATCCAAGCACACGGCACAGCATAGTGCAGTTGAGATGCGATAGGCAAGCTTCTCGTGTGTTCCGGTTCCAGTTCCAGCTGGACCGCCTCCGCCACCGCCGGACAACGAGCCCGATGATGAGGAAGCTGCATTCGGATCAAGCATCTGTTTCTTAGCTGGCGGTTCACCGCTGCTTTGCGTATCTAATGGTACGCCCACCGACATGCTGCTGCTGCCTCCCGCTGACGAAGTGGAGGCCTGCATTTGCATTTGCATCGTGGTCACTTGGTTGTCGCCCAGCATTGGCAATGTAGACGAGGGTGGCTGTTGCACCGCTGAACTAGAAGATTCTACGGTAGACATATTGTCTTTATGCTGCAACCACTATTTTGTGTTTCTTTCTGAATTTGTTAATTTTACAAATTTATTTATTTGAAATTGCAGCTATGCCCCTTTTCTCTCTCTCTCTTTCTTTAGCATACATACACAGACACATACAATACACTCTCTCATACAACACAGGCAATGCAGTGCACTTTTGTGATTTTCCTATTTTCGCTCTCCAATTTTTGGGTTAAACTTTCCGCCACACGTCAAACCGCTTCGAAAGTTACAGACACAATGAAAATGAGAGGACAGTTTTATATTTACAGTAAATGAGAGCATAATGTTAAAGTAACAGAATGTTAATAATACAGTGGTCTCCAATCCGTTCGAACAATATTCTAATTATGTATGCTATAAGTGAGTATTAAACAGCGTATATTTCAGAGGTTCAGCTTATCACTAATGTTGAACAGTCTACCAATTATTATTATTAATCTTAAAAGATTTTTATAAATTATTATTTGAAAAATATCTCAACGGAAGGCTGCTCAAAATAATATGATTGCAGCTGTTCCAAATCTATTTGGCATTACTGATATGATCTATGTTACCGTAATGCTCAATTTGGTAATGTTAGTATTGTAAACAGCTGTTCTTGTTTTGGTTTTATTCATTCTCGTTCTAATTTAATTCCGAGTCGATTGTATCAATATGTAATGAAAGCCAATATAGGGAAGCCATTGCCTTTTTTATTTATTTTTTGTTCTTCTTAATAAACAGCACTTTAATTCATTTTCATATTTTTATTGCCTATAAAAAGCACTTATGTAATATGTAGTGTTTACAAGTAAGGTCTATCCATGGGCGTATTTTTGGCCTTCTTGTCACGAGCACGCGGGAACCAACGGTGCTTTGTAGTATGTGTTAACTTCATAAGCTCCTGGCGTGCTACCTCTGGGAACTTGTTTTTAAACGCAGTCATTGCCGTCTGCAGCGCAGTTTCCTTGATAACATTGGAGCTTTGCTTCTCGACCAACTGAGGCAGGGGTTTTGTGTGTTCGTAAGGAAAAGGAGTGTCCGGATGCCAAGCTACAATTATTTTGCCATTTTTTGTTACGGCAACACTGTCTACCAGGCTTTTGCCACCAACCGCGTTTTTGTTAACAGCGTTTTTTGTTAAATTTGTTGAGAATAAACGATACGAAGAGTATAAACGTGCGGACAACATTTTAACAAGTGTGACCGAATATTGTGAACTCTAAATTAATAAGTGCTTATCGATTGACCGCCACATGATATCGAGTGGCCGACACCAGCTGTTTAAAACTTGGAAAAACAAAATACGCGCAAACAATTAATTAATAAATTTTATACATCGACTAAAAAATAATATATATAAACACAGAACTTATATATGCTCACAACTTATACATTGCTGGAAATTCACTTTATATACTTAGAAGTACGATGTGGCGCAACGGAACAAATTGGCTCCGGCCCTACCATCTGTTGTCAATAAAACTCATGTTTATTGACAAATAATATAATTATTGTTTTTTGCAACCTTAAAAATAACTAAAACAAGCTGGAAACGAACAGAAAGAAACAATTTAAGCTTAAATAAAGCGAGGTTTCGCTATAAAATCAAATTACACTGTGAGTGTTTATTTATTGACTGTCTATTAAATAATTGTCTTTATAATCACCTTTTTAGAAGGTAGCTTAGATATCTGGAATATGAGTGGGCGTGGCCGGAATGTTCGCCGATCGGCAGAAAAGACTAGACAGCAATTTGATATATTTGATGATCCCCTCGACATCGATATGAATATATCCGTTAAGAATGAAGTTATGTGCCCGGATATCTTGCCCATCGAAGAGGAAGTTGTATTCGGAATGGTTGACAGTCAGCAGTTAGTTGAAGATCAGCAGAAAATGCAGCGATTATATCCCTTAGACATGGGAACAAGTCAATGCCACAATCTTAACGACCGTTTGAGTAGCCTGGAACGTAAAGTAGATTTTCTACTTAATGTAAATACGAAGATATTGGCCCGTGTTGATAAAATCTGTGAAAATATGAAGACGGTGACCAAGCCTAATGATTTTCCTGTTAAGCATAAAGAAGCATTGGAAGCAATTGATATGCAAATTGCAAATGATCGAGAGAAATACGTTAGTAGATCGGAAGAAACCATTATAAATAAAAAATGTTTACATTATAATTTCCTTCTTACAGACAGAACTATTTAAGAATCTGCTAAGTCCTAGTGGAATTGTCAAAAATATTGGACGGATATTAGATCAAAAGTTGTTAATGGAAATGAACTACGGAGGACACAGCTCAAAAGCAGGCTTAAGCAATTATGTAAATTTAAATACAGCGTTATATGGTAAATACAAATATTTGTATGCGAGTTTATGATCTTTATGTCATCTGACTTTTTGCAGAGTCTCAGAAAAGAGAAGGCTACACTTTTGACGATTATAAGAAGGATGCACGCTTGGCATTCCAGAAAGCCAAAAATCGTGTTTATAAAGCCATATCCGAGGCGAGAAGGCTGAAAAGATTAAATGGCGAACTCGAAGGGAGTACACAATTTATAAAAAAAAAAGAAAATCCCGATGAAACAATGGAATGCATGAACTAGGTTTCCATATACTATAAGTAATTATGCATACATTATTGTTTAGTATTAACTAGTTTTATTTAAAAGAAAACACATTGTATGTATATACATTTGATATATGTAAGCATATGCTCTTCTCATATTTACATTTAAGAGATCGTATATTAAATATGCTGTACAATTATCACACATTTTTTCGCTCAGTGCTTTTGTTAGCTAACAGAAGGATGTCTAGCTTGTGGAACGATGTCGTGCTAAGCAAATTTGTATTATTTTATGAGCAATCTATGTACCGCTAACCTCCCACAATCGTTACTAACACAATCTGAAGGCACTTGAAATTTTGAGCTTTCAGCTCTTTTGTGACCGTCTTTAAACTGTTTTTCTTGTTTCTTGACGTCACTTGCCGACGTTTTTTATTGAGTGCTTGAAATATATTTTGAATATCCACTTATCCCGTCGTTGTAGCCCATGCTGTTTCAAAATATGCTGGCAATTTTATACGGTTTTTGCTGCCAACAAAGCAATTTGGCTATCTAACTGCGATATGCATTGTTCGCTTGTGGAAATTATATATTGTAAATATTATATATTCATTTCTTTTTGGCGTCGAGTCAACAGAATTTCTATGGCTCTGCTCAGGCTAGATATGGTTTATTGTGTCAATATTTTGATTTTTATTTAATTTGTATTTAATTAATTGGCTAGGCGAGACGTATTAAAAGGGACTGCAGTTTTATCTTGCCATTGAAAGAGCCATAGCCATTGCCATGACGTGGATTGGAACAACCAAAAACCAAATATCTGTCATTCACATGCCAATGTCTCCGGTTATGAGCCATAAAAGTGGCCGGATTGTCTGAAACAGCGAAATGTTGGGTCCATATTGCGTATACGCACGGTTATCGCTCATACATACATTGCCAACGCAATTTATTATACAAAAGCTTGGGGCAAAACTACGTTCATGCTCTGACACGCCCCCTGCTTCGGCTATTTCCAGACGCCCTTTTTTGTGGACTAGACGGCCGTAAAAGGCGGCACCATAGCTGCAAATTGTCAGCCATTTGTTTTGCCTGATAATGTCTCAATAAAATCTGTAAGGCATTCGTAGGTGTTCAAACGTGTTCGTCCATAGGTAAATGTGCGTGTGAGCGTCCGTTTTAGGTGTGTATGTTATTACGTATACGCCCGGTAGTTACCTAAGCCAAAGTTGTTAAGTTTAACGGCCTTCGTCTTTTATATCCAGTATCTACCGTGCTATAGCGAATGCAAATGTCCTTTATGGAATGCATTTCGTTAGCCCACTGGCCAACTGCTGAGATTGTTTAATTAAATAGTTTTTATTCATTTATGATTACAGCGCCAGTTGGCTCCAATTACTGTGTTATGCAAAGAAAGAAAAAGTACAAAAAACGATAAGTGGTACGAGAAAGGGAGTCTACATTTGAAAATATGTTCTGGTATTCAGAATCTTTGAAAAAGCATAGCATTTAGCATATTTTAAATTTTTAATATACATATTGTGAGTGTATTCCATATGGAGACTATTGAAACTATACTATTATGATAATGATAATGGATATATATAGTACATTATAGTACAGTGTCTAAATGAAAATGTTGAGAATGTTTTTCATACAATGATGTTGATTATATTGCTTATATATATTATATATAATAATGTTAATCATTATTTATATTTATTTTTTCTTAATTTTCATAATTAATAACTTATATAATATGATAATGCTGATAATTATAATTTTTATAATAACTAATGATATGGTTAAGCTTATCCATAGCTTATGGAAATTGCTTTGTTGATAATGACTATGTTAATAAAGCTGAGGATAAATAAAAATTGGAGATATTACTAATGATAATGTTGCTTATGACATTGAAAAGCCGCCTGGCTATGCATATCATATTTTCGGGCACTTTCAGTTGCACGTTTCTCGATTTGATACACAATCACGAACTCTGGCCCAAAAGGAAATGTGGAACATCACTTATTTACGTTTTATCACATTTTTTTGAAGACTATCGCTGACCGCCTGCCTGTCAAAGTTGTTCTCGAGCTTTTCACTGGGTAATTATGCACCCGAGCGTGAATCTCTCTGCATTTTCTCCGTTGACGGCGCCTTTTAACAAATAAAGTTTTAATTGCTATGGTTTCTGATCTAGTGACAGAATAGTTTTGTGCATTGCATAAATTAAATTTTGAATTGCTATAAAAAGAATGCAGCTTATAATTACTTAAATTGAATTGAAACAAAATATGGAGTCAATGCAAGAAGCGACTTTTGTATAGACGGAACCAAATATTGATTGTTGTACGGGGCGTATGATTCATTTTTGATAAAAATTGATTTGTTTGGCTGCCTCATAAACTACGTGATTGGCACGTATATATGTCTGTGCGTAGATATATCATATGCAACGCATCGTTAGTCGATGTATGTATATAAATTGAGGCTAATCAATTTATGGCTTTGCATGCCGCAGATTGCTGGAAATCCCTTATGAAAACAAAAGCGGAGACATCAGAGACTGAAAGAATAACAAAAAGAGACAAATTACAAATACGTCGGCGATGTTATCTCTCTCTCTCTCTCTCTCTGTCTCGCTTTCTCTATCCCTTTTCAATTTCGATAAAGACTAAAGCCCCATTCAAATCAGGCACATACTCCCCGCACAGTCGTTATAGTCAATCGAATGTGTGAAATTTCTCTTTCATAGCCGAATTAAATTCCAATGCACACATACTGAACCACATGCGTGGACTATATATATATATATATATATATATATATATATATATGTATGCGCATTTCTAGTACGAGCTTAAGCCACTCTCAATGTCCTACAGTGGAAAATCTGGTGGAAATCTTTGTTTTTTTTACCATTTGATTGGTTTTTTTTCAAATGCTTTCGGCTAAAAGAAAATTTGAGTTCTCTTTCGATTTGAATAAATGTTTTGAATAGATATGCTATGGTTTTGAAATATATATATTAAAGCTGAAAGCTTAAGAGTAGTTTTTTGTAAAAATGAGTTTTAACTACTAAATAGAACATTTTTGATATGTATTTCGAGTTTAAAGTTGAGTTTCTTTATCAAAATATTGAAAATTTGTTATTTTTGTTATTTTTGTTAAACAAATAACTTTCATAACTTCAACTTCCAAAGTGAATAATAAGTAAACTAAAGAGATTTCTTTATTACTCTACTAAATATTCCAAAAATATAATATAATAATAAATAATTTTTAATGAATAATTTTTTATTATTAATTTATTTATTTTTATTTAAAAGAAATTAAATATGTGTATAATAATTATTTTGCAGCCATCTGTAAAAGTTTTGACCACTGTGCCTGGTTTGAATGTCTTCCCTTCTAATTTCCTTTATCGAATTTACGATTTTGTTGCTCATGTCATCAGCTCAGTTTGGAAATAACAACAAACCAAATATGTTTTGCTTGTTAGTTTGTGTTGGGTTCCCTCGTATTATGCCATCCTCATCTGTTGTTTTTCTCATTTTTCTTTTGCTCCATTATCCCAATAATTTTGAATGCCAGTCGAACGATTTGTTTTTTCGTTGTTCGGGTTTCTGGCTGACAAATTGCGCTGTAGGAAAATAAAATGCTGCATAAATTCGAGTACAAAAAATTCCCAACTATTGCCAAGAATGTCAAATGAGAGAATCGTGGCCCATAACCTTTGCCAGCCATTGGCATTGACGCCCACGCACTGCTGACATTTCGTATAGCTGCAACCAAATCTGAAGGCGGAAACGACGGAAAAACTGCAAGAGAGCAGCCAACTTTGTTTAACGAAATTGTTAAGGCCCCAGTTTGGCGTAAGCACCTCACACACCAAATACAAGCTTCAATGGATAAAACCCCGCGTATTCTCGCACCCACAACTACAGTAGTACCAATTCAGCACGGAGCAGACGCCAGGCGGCAACTGCATAATACTTGGTTCCATTACCAAAAATACTTATTTAAATAGATGTGTATTAGTAGAGCCGTCTGCTAGGTTAGGACACTGAAGCTGACACTTGCTATAAAAATATGACACATTTTGATATATAAATATAGATATAAATATAATCTAGCAGTACAAAGAGTACTTATGCCAAGTTTAAGTCTGCAGCGTATATACCCATTTAACTTAATGAACGAGTATAATAAACTCATGTTGGCAGCGCTGGAAATGGTCACGTAGTGTGTGAAAATCTGGTGTGTGAGCACTTTATAAGCACTTGTGGTTAGAGTTCAAGTTTCATTTAAAGAAGTTGCGTTACAAACTATAATCAAGATATAACTGGAAGACAAACTACATAGTAAGCAAATACTGCGGCTATAATATATATATATATATATTTTTATATATATATATATATATATATATATATGAGTCTTAAAATATTCCAGCAAAATTAAGCAACATTTACTTGATGTTGCTTAAGATCAAATGTTAATATTACTTGTTTATGCAAATAGTTTGAGGTCAGAAATGAATGTTATATAATGAAAGCATATGCATTAGACTTAATATTTTAATATTTGATATTTTTATCGATATCTAAATAGAGAGTAAATTCAAGTGAGTGTAATTTGAAGAAGCTTTTAAAGTCCTTTCAACATAAATAAGTATTTAAAATGCTTTCAGTCTACCATAGAGTCAGTCTATAGACCTGACAATCATATCATCTGGTCAATGGTTGTGGTTACAGGATGTTGTCCACCTCTTAAGTACATATATTCTCTTATTCGCTCTTATGTTATTCTCTCCATGGCCTAGACGTTTTGCCGTCGGTTCGTTACAGTTTTTACTGTTTTTTTCTCTACCTTATGCCATGTTCCGCAAATCGATAATAATCCATATTTTCTGTGTTTTTTTATAGTTAGATATTCTTATAGTAGTAATCATGGATTATGAATATGTTCGTATTTCGACCCCACCCCAGTGTCCCCTCAGTTAAACCCATTCATTTACATGCTTAGAGCCCATATCTTCTAGTTAAGCACTCCCTACCAGAGCATTCGCATGCTTAAGATTGTCACGTCACGTGCCA